AAAATTCGGGACCACTCATATAATTCACAATAACAAAAAATTCGGAATATAAAAATTCGTTATAGAGAGATTCAACTTCAACTGTATTATAATATAAAAATTACAATAAAACCGAAAAAAAAAGGATGCCCATATTATTATAAATATATGAAAATTTCATTAAAATTTCTTAAAAAATTTCGCTTGTAAAAAAAATTTTTCATAAGAAAAACCTATGTAGAATTTGCCGATCGAGACATTTGCGTAAAATATCATTTTTTCTGATATGTTACACAGGATTTACTATTTCTCAATTTTGCCTTAATCTATATAAAACAGTTGTGGCGTATGCTTACATAAGTTCTGCAAAATTAGAAATTTATTGACCAAAACCGATAAGTTTAAAAGCTCTTGTTAACGGCAACAATCGGAAAGTGTCACATTATTGTCATAAAGGCTTGATGAGTATAGAGGTACCGCACTGTATAACCTATGAAAAAGTAATCGTCACTTTTGCGTTTTTGTTATAAAGTCTACTCGGGGAATAAAATAATTACCTTATGTAACGAGATTTTTTTTTGACCCTAAAAATATCTATCGCGATTAGCCATAATGCTGGCGTAAAGACATGTTGAATTTCTATCTCATTGAAGTATGATATAAAGATGATAATTTTATGATGTAAAAATGATAAGACGACGAAATTTTTTAGCACGGATTTCGTTTATAAGTGCCTATCCAAGAATGAAAAAAAAGGATAAAATGCGATCTTTTTTCTCGATTGTCAAATCACGTTCAAAGTATCCCACTTGCTTTATTAACAAAAGATTTTACACAGACAGAACCGTTCCTATTGCCGCTGCTGCTTTCTCTCATATTATTAATCCACCAACCATGGCAAGTTTTCAACTTAAAATTGATGCATATCTATGCCATTATAAAAAATATTCATTTTTTTTTTTTTTTTTTTTTTTAAAAAACGAAACAGACAAAAAATATAATTGAAATAGCAATTGAAGATCATAGCATTATCAAGACTTTGTGGAAACGTTTTAATGATGAAAAAGATGACAATGAACGTCAAAAAATCGCAAACACTTTAATTCGCGAGAGTAAGTCAAAAAAAAAAAATAAAATAAAATAAAATTTCGTTTATTATTCATCCTTATTATTCATGGAAATAGTCTCTCTTCATTCTGCAACGGAAGAGATTGTTTTATACCCGCTCGTTGAGAAGCACATGGATGATGGAAAAAAGTTCGCGGACCATAATCGTGAAGAACATCTTCAGATTAAAAAGGACGCTTACAAGTTAGACACGATGAAACTTCACGATGAAGGATACACAGATCTCATGTCTAAAATTATGAAGGTAATCATCCTTTTTGACTTGAAGGGGTGAAGGGCCGAGCATTAAAAAAAAATTTTTTCCCCTAATAAATAGGAATTTGATGAGCATTCCACCGATGAGGAAGAGAATCAATTCCCTTTACTCAAAGAAAAGGTTGGAAGTGAAGAGTTGCAGAAGCTTGCCGCGGAATTCGAAAAAACCCGTAAGATGGTTCCAACTCGACCTCACCCATTTGCTCCCGACCAAGTTCGTATACATTTTGTCTTTTTTATTTAGTTATTTTTTAATAGTTAATGTAATAAATTTTTTTGTTCGTTTCTTTAAATTATTAATAGCCTCCGAAGGAAACTATAGGTCAGTATAGTATATAGTATATACAGTATATAAAATTTATTTGTTCATAAGGCGTTGTATTTAATAATTGTTTACCATCCATCCTCTTAGTTGGCACGGCAACTGCGCCTATTGATAAGGCTCGCGATGAAACACGTGAATTTGTCGATGTCAACCGCTGTGTGTAAATCAAAAGAAATTATATGTAGTTGGAAAAAATTGGAAAAACACATTTCTAAATCTATCAATTTAAATAAAATTACTTTTTTATTTCTATATAAATATATATATATATTTCTGATTTTCTCGCGTGTTCTTTAACAATCGTCAATTTTCATCAAACAAAGTTGGTTTACAACTTTCAACTACTTCAAAACCAACTTTCTTCTGGTGAAGATGACCAAGAAACGAGTTAAATTTCAAAAAGAGATTCCTGTCCAATTTCAATAATCTCAACTGATCATTCCTGTCATAATAATCACTTATATAAGCAGCGAATTTATAAGTGGCGTCTGCAACACCATATATTTCCAAAGTACTTAATTTAGTATTACAACAAATCAAAAAATCTCTTAAAAATCTCAAAGAAATAAATAAATTTAAACATAAATGATTTAAAGTTTCGGGTATGGAAGAACCCAATAATTGTAACATGTTGGATCTAAATAAGATAATATCAACTTTGGGGGATTCTAAATATAAATAAGATAAAGTATTCATAAAGGGTAATACACTGGCAGTCCTTTCAAGTGAATCAGATGTAATGAATAAACATAAATGAGTTAAATTGACACAATATTTATTTATCGCTCTAAAAATATCTCGGTTAAAGAAACTGCAAGCGAATTTCTTTAAACTCATTGAAGCCATCTTAAAGATCAAAATGATCTCTTCATCAGCATTATTCGTCTGATATTGAAATTGTAAAAGGGGATTCCAATGATAAAACTTTTCAAGTGATGGTATCGATAAATTAACCAATTTCTCGTCATTTCTTGATTTATCTTCACATCTGCTCAATTTATGCATGCTAATCGATTTCAAATTTTTACAATTTTCTAATAATTGGATTAAGGAAGTAAATTTGATTTCTCCGTTAATTTTAAAATTTCTCAGGGAATTCGCTTGAGTCGTCGTAAGTGCGTCAATAATTTCTTGATCTATCGTTGAACAGTCAATTCGATTCATTTCGAAGCTTTTTAAACTGATTTGCGATTTGATTAGGTTTGATATTGCGGGGAAAACTTCTTTAAAAGAATTATTTTCATCATGTGTAGGGAAATTAATGATTATCTCTTGAATGTTAATCGCTAATTTCGCAAGCGTATTGAAAAAATTTGACCATATTTTAGCATAGTTTTCTTCATTAACAATATATGCTAAGAATGTTAAACTTGTAAGTTTACTTAGGGGGATATAAGGGGCAATACTTCTGTTCCCTCCCGCGCTATTTAAAGTATTGTTGTTAAAAGAGAATAATAAATGATCCAAGGTATAAATGATCTTTTGACTTGGGGCATGATTATGTTCGTATTTAAATATTCTTAATCCTTTCGACCTTTTGAATATCATATCCATTATAATGCTCGCTATAATCATATAAACCTTTCCTAAATCCAATTGGGTTTCAATTGTGTTGACATAATTTTCAAGTATTTGAGAAAAATGATTACATTTAAAGATTTGCAAGTATTTCGGATAATCAAATAATGCTTTGGAGTTACAATCCGGAATTTGAATGGATTCTTTAATTAATAATGATTTCTCCGAATTTTCCAAGCATGAGATGTAAGTTCGAATTGAATCTTTCCTCCTCATATTTTTAAATGGATCACTCCATAAGATTGGAATCGCAAGTCGACACCAAGTACGATTTACTAAAATGCATGAATGGAGTGTTCCTTGATCTTCAACCAAGTATTGAAATACTATTTCTAAACAATCTGTCATGCAAATCAAACTATACTTTGATTTTGTTGAACTTTTCCTTTTATTCGACAATTTTGTTATTAGTTGTACTATAATCATCAAAGGAGGATAGGACAAGAGAAAAAAATGAAATTAATATAATTAGTGCGTGCTTATGCATTTGAAAAGAAACTTTAATCAAGTACTTACCAAATGGCATTTTTTTTTTTTTTTCTGAAATCTTTTTCTTCTAGTTTACAAACAAGAGAATCTTGTTTAGTTATATATTATTAAGATCTACAAAAATAAATCAACCTTGAACCAATCGGAAATTCCTAAAATGATCTACATTAAAGCTAAATGAAAAAAACCTTTTCAAAGGTAACACAAGGTAATATGCCTTTATCTAGATAATGTCGGAAGCACTTTTGGCCGAAACTAATACTAATTGAAACTAATCAATTAAAAAAATTATTCACAGGGATAAACAATTATTTCGTTTTCATTTATTTCACTATAGAGATACTGTTTGAAATGTAAGCAAATGCAACAAATTAGGATAGAATATGCATCTGAAAGAACAACCATCAATAACTTTTGAAATATCTTCCTTTTTTAGGTTATGCTCGGAAAATGATATAGAAAGAAATCATTACTAAAATAAAAAGGGGGGCAAACGAGAAATAATGTATGATTTAAAGGGATATAGTGACCTTTCAAATTTGACATTGTCTATAGGTGTAAAATATGTGTGAGGAATTTTAAATAAAAGTAATTTAATAAGAATATATGTGCAATTTCCTTACTTTAGTTCACTCATTCTAGCATGGTAGCTGTCAATAATTTTACGAAATGTTTTCAATGGTAAATTTCTTTCGTATTTTGGTACAATCGTTTCATAATCTTCCAAACCGGACACTATACGACCAAAAGTCTATTAATTAAAATTAAATAAATAAATAAATAAATATAATTTCAAAAATATATATATATATATTCAAGCTTCGCTCTCTTAAAATTAATACTCGCTTTAAAATTTTCAATTGAATCCGAAAATCTTAAATCGAAGGCTTCATCTAGAATATCATGTGCAAAATCACGAATTGTTTTATCATCAGAATGCATTTGAACGGCCCACGTAGCAAGATCAATATAAGGTATTTCATTATTTGCGAACTCTAATGTAAAAATCAAATTTTGTACTTTTTTTGGTTTCGTCTAATAATAATAATATCAGAAAGCATCATTATTACCAATATTAAATAAGTGTATTGTTCTTTTAACAACATTACCTACAATAATCTCTTCTATAATTATTTTTTTAATTATTTTGTCTCGTTTGCAATTTTCATCCAACACTAGTCTCCCTTTATTGATTACTTCTAGTAATTCTTGTCCTTTTCTTATTATTATGCTATCTTGTTCATCCTTGTAATTTGGATGAGAAATGTGTAATATAGGGAAAAACTTTATTAAAAAAAAAAAGAAAGATATAATAAGATATAATTAAAAAAAAAGGGAGATAAATATCTAACCATAATTTCCTTATGCCTACGTTTTAATACCTTTCGTGATACATTTTCATATTCAATGATCTGATTATGAAAAGCAAGAAATATTCTCATATACATTGGCTCATCATATAAATCAACGCATTCCTTATAATCATCCATTGCCACAAAAACTTGACTTCGGGCAAACTCTGGAAACTGAATTTTTTCATCATTAATACACGTTAATAATAATAATAATAATAATAATAAACTTACAAAGTTAAGCGCGGTTAAACTTACATAAACCACATTATCATTAGGAAACATGAATTTCCAAGCCATGTTCAATTCTTCTAAAGCATTTGCCCTATTTTGTTCATGGGATAACATTTTCGATATCCACGATTTGAGATCAAAATTAGGAAATGCATCCCTGGCAACAGCTTCAGTAAATATAAAGTCTTTTCGTCGCTTTAAATTTTTATTTTTTTAACGAGTTAATTTTTTTTATAGAGATATATATATGATCGATTAAACATGTAAAATTACATACCATAAGCATTGCTCTATTCATTTTTGTATTTTATAAACGAACCACTGGTGTTTTTCTGCAAAAAAAAAAAAAAAAAAAAAAATCTGAAATTCGTTCTAAACTACTATAACGAATATTGATTTCTCCTGTTCCTAAAAAGGCAAATTAAATTTTACCTTCGAAACTTTTTTGGGGATCTACATGATTTTGTAAGCGATTTTATTTATACCAATAACAGGTTTTATAACTTGGAACGTGGTATTTAAAAAAATTTCGCTTTTTTGGACCGCCCAATTTTGGGTAGAATTCAATATTCATTTAGGAAATTGAATCGCGAAACGTTCATATTAATCAATTTCGAGTGATCGACCATTTCAATTGGACATTTATTAATTAGTCGATTGGAGGGTCAAAGTTATGAATAATCTTCTCTAGCAACAAGTTACTTGATTTATTGGTAATTTTTGTTCCTTTCAATAGGAAATAAAAATAAAAAAATTTCTATTTTAAAATGTCTCGCGATTAAAATTTATTTGTTTTCCAACCCAATTTTTTTTTTTTAAATTAATTGAATTGAATTGATTGAATTGAATTGATTATGCTAAGTTATAACCATTTTTTCTTAAAAATTCATCGCCATCCATGCATTGAATTTTTTAAATATATAATCATAAGTTTCTTATACATAAACTTATTTGATATCTTAACATGTATTTACAAAAGAATGCTTATTAAATCATAAAACTAATTTTTCAAAGAATTAATAATATAACAGGAAAGAAAAAAAATTCTTTAAAGTGATAATCTATATAAACTATAAACAGTGAAAAATTTACAAATTTAAAAAGATGAAAAAGTGGATTAAAAAAAAAAATTATAAACATAAAAAAGTATTAACATATGGTAATAAAAATCTATTAATCTAAAGGGAAAAATTATGTAAAATTATATACTAATGTCATATCACATATTCTTAAAAGGAAAAAAAAAATCCCTTAACCGTATACATTAAAATTATTAATATTTAACGACTTGAAACACTTCATAATCATCCATGATAAATTCAACTCCATTATAAATTTTTTGTTGATAATCATTTTGTTCACAAATTCCAGCAAACCATTCTAAATCACTTCCAAAACCCAAATATTCATCTTCTATATTAAAGATAGCTCGATCAGGAATTTTGACACGAGAAAGAATAGGTTTCGTCATATGTTCATTATCATCAAAAGAGAATATAAAACTATCATTAGACGATAAATAGCCATCACTTGCACACCATCTAACAGGATTATATCCACCTAACAAACGTTTAGATCCTTTGACTTTAATTATCACTAAAGTTGGACCTTTATTACTACAACGCTTTAGAAATTCACGATAATCATTTAACCCATCACGACTTCCACGAATAAGTAAATTAAATTTATAGGGAATATCATGAAATTGATATGATTCATTTTTCTTATCAATCCAAGACGCAAGAACTGCTGCGTAAGTTGGAGTGATTATCGTTGTATCGATTCCCCCTTTTCCACGTGGTGGTAAAACGATTGATCTTGAAGAAATTTGATGAGCAATATAAAATTGTTCTAAATCCTCCCTTAATTCCTTTGGTAGGATTTTTTTAAAAGGTCGAACTTTATTATAATAATCCGGTCCTGAAATATTAAAAAATCTGATATGTGGAATACAATCTTGTAATGTGTCTCTTAACATTATAAAATCTAAAGGTTGCCATTTTGAGATATTTGATGGAAATTTCTGATGTTGAGCCATTCCCCATTTAACTACATTATTCCAAATTTCAATTTCTTTGATATTGAATAATTCTTTTTTTAATATATCGATTAAATTAGATTTATCCAAAAAACCAAATTCTTCCAAAGAGAAGAATCTGACAGGATCATCACAAATGATTCCTTCACAATATTTATGAAGTTTATTACATGCTTCATGTTTTGCCGTCATTGTAAGAAATTCAACAAGCTTCCTTCTTAATAATGCAGCATCATTCTTAATTATATGATCTTGAATATGATCAATTAATTCTATGATGGCCAATTCATCAGCGGCCGCTAGAAGACATGTATAATTCACTCTAATATTCATATCATCCATAACAATCGTACCAGTATAAATATATCTAAAATTAAAAACGAAAGGGTAAATTTAAAGCTTAAAAAATCTCATCCTATCTTTAACGTGTGAATGGTTTAAACTTACTTGAGAATAATTTCGAAAACGACTGGAGATATATTTGGTTGATGAAGAATCATATAATCACCATCTTTTCTAGCCCAATTAGATGACAGAGCAGCACGAAAATATGAGGACCTTGCTCTCAGGATAACAGAGTGAGCCTTAAAAGTACGAACATTTGACCCATGTCCAACTTGAATTTGAACATTGCAATCGTCTGAATCTTCATATAGTCTACCAATATCCCTAACCAATATCTTATCTAATTCCATTGGCTTTATTTAATAAACTAAAAATTCAGAGAAAAGAGGGAAAAAAAATATTTGAATTTATAGAAATAGACGGAAAAAAAAATGGGGAAACAAAATGTGGAGTTTTAATTGTTTGTTTGGTAATTAAATTTGGTTACAAAGTAAAAAGGACTGTATTGTTTTTCAGCTATTTTTATAATTTCATTCATGAACAATTTTGGAAATTTCCTTGTAGATCGAATACTTACCAGTTACCGTTTCACGAGGAAAAAAAACTTTTTTTTTATCAAATGGCATGTAACAAATTTTTTTTTTGCTTTCATTTTTATCCACATTAATCGATAATGAAAAGATACAAACAGAGTAAAAAATTATACAAGCGTTCAATGTTTCTTTGTCCCCAGCGGCCCGAGTCAAGAATCGTCCAATCATAATATTCTTTGTTGCTCAATGATATAATGATACATAAGAAGAATAATGGGAATTTTTTAAAATGTGGCGCAATTATATCGCCCATAACGTTCATTTATTATGTTTGCCTTGTTGTATATAAATTTCGGCAAATTTTCTATCCCACCAAAAATTTTGAGTTACATTATATATATTATTATCATATGAATAAAAGTAGTTGTGACAATAATTTTCCTAATTGTACGTGAAATTAAGGTTATGAATAATGATGTCTAATGATAAACAAAACTGAAGCGAATTATTAAAAAAAAAAATGGAAAAGGTAATTACAAGTAATTACTTGCGATTTGCTCGTGTTTTCTTTCCATAATCGTTACAGCAAATTAAAATTCGGTCCAATTATTCGTATACGAATAAGCATATGTTGAGACATTGTTGATCTAATCCTAATTAAACGACACTTACACACCTTTCTCACATTCGTTTTTTTCGAATTTAAACCATAAATTAACTTGATATGACAAATGATCGATAATTAATGTTCCATTTCTTTACTACACAACGTAAAATTTAGAGTTTTAATATGGCAACTTGATAAATTAAGGAATAAATAAATTCGTTACTTAATGAATGGCTTGTCACGTGACACATGGAACATCGTCATGTGAAATTGCCAAATTTTACAAAATTGCCACCGAATTTATATAAGAAGCTTTTGTTAAAGGGGAGCTAACGGTGAAGTGTGAGATGAAGTGATAAATGGGTGAGGCTGAACTTAACGAAAAATTTTCACCTGTTCATATATTAAATTTTTATACTTTTTAAATTTAACTAGTGCGTTTCATTATCAATAATCTCTCGTTATGTACTATCAAATTTGTAAGGAAAGCAAGGAAATGGAAGCCGAAATGGAAGCCGAATTTGATTCTAACTTTTATTTTGGAGTTCTTTGTTCTCACATTTCTCAGGTTTCAAAAGATGGTGCGATTCCTGCTGAATGGAACCAAACACTGGTTCTTTTGTAATGCTACATGGTGCACGAGCTTCAGGAAAATCTTTCGAATTTTAAAGTTGAAAATTTTATTAACCAGTTGCTGAAGAAATACTGGATTGTACAATTCTTTACAAACTTGGAGTCTTTTGAAAGCCTATATTTTGTTAATTGATGAATTTGATACAATGTATTGTACCTTTAGATCATTGTGCTCTCTTCTGTCATTATACTTCATTTGGACAACTAATTCCTGAATACATTACAGAGCATATTAAAATTTTGATTTGCTATTGAAATAAGTCAATCGTTATTTGAAGAGGTATTGAAATTGTTCCTTAGGTAATTACAGATGTAAACTAGTGCATCAGGTATTGTAATCAATGGTAATGAAAATTTATTGTATTGTTTTAACCGTTTATCCTATGATGATAATCTTAATAATAAAAATATTGAGAGATGGATTATTATAAATGTCCATTATAGGATTGGCAAAATGAAAATTTTGATAATATGTGCATGCATACACGTTTAAATAAAACTATAATTTCCAATATGGCTGGTGGGCACTTCAGAGACTCAAGAAGTCGTTCAGAACCTTCCCAACTCGAAGCGCTTTTACGTTACAACCCTAATCATAAAGTTTCGCACATTGGAGCGTGGCATGTGGAAAATAAAATTTCACTTTAACAAATGTCGTTTATAATATGTAATTTGAATTTAGCAATTTTATTTTGTTACATAGTTTGTGTTCCCTTTAAATTATCTAATATATCAAGCTATTGTATCAAATAACATCTGAATAAGGGTATTTGACCTAGCGCCTTATTCTCCCTGCCCTAAAGAAATGAATTTTAATCCCAGATATTTTGCCAAACTTTTCTTACGAGTATATAAATCTCCATTTAACGACTAGTTATAAGCGGTAGTAATCCATTGATTTCGTTGGCCGTAGCGTACTTTGTTGTTTTACCGAACCGTCTTGGTCGAACAGCAATGGAAACCTTTGAATCACGATCAAGAAACAATAAGAGACGTTTTGTCAAGGAAAATGTAGACTCCTTTTACAATTCGTCAAAGCTGTCCCAGCCAATGGGAGTACTTTTGCCGGTAAAAATTGTAGCAGCTTTCCTATAATAATATCGAAAGAAGATTAGTCTCTGTTATGAAAATTCCTTGGAAAGTAATAAAATAAAGAAACAGTGAACATACTCATTGGGCAATTGAACAATTTTGAATAGGTTTTGGACACATTTTCCTAGTCCAAAACCTTGTCCGAATTAATAAATGTGCCCAAATCCCAACACTGCCTAACTATATTTTGTTTTTTCGGCGAAGTGGTCAATGATGGTACTTGAGGAATTAGGAATTAGAATTTAAACGTTAACAAATTAACAAGGAAAAAAATAAATAATTTATTATAACTCACCAAAAGCTTCATCATTACTTCTTCAAGCTGAAATGGGTAAGTTTTCCTTTTCTCTTTTTCGGGGATGGTAAAGGTCTTTAACATAAGGAAGATACCTCCGCAGACCTTATTAAACAAGCGAAATTTAAGCAAAGCCAAGTCCATCTAAATGACCTGATACTCAATATCTGGACGCTCTTCTTCCCCAAGCACAAAGGGACGGGGTGTAGCACGTTCACTATTCTCACTAGCATTTCACATTCCTGAAATTACTTACAACTCTTTTGAACTTTCCTTGATTTTTGAATCCGAAAGTTCCGTGATCGTTCTTAGTTCGCCTTGTAAGACTGCAAAGTTATATTTATTATTACGGTAATAATAACGGATGTACAATTCACTTCACTTACTACGTGTTGAACATTCGACAAAATAACTTCCGGCACATAATTTAGAAAGAAATTTAGAAGGTAAGGCAGTCAGTGGCCAACTGGACCAAATTGAACTAACTGGACTTATAAAAGTGGCCACCACTGCTAAGGCAGTGTTGGGCAATTTGAAAGGTTTTGGACACTTTAAAAATGTGTCCAAAATCCGTAACTGATCGCGTCTTTTAAATTTAATTACCAAAGATAGGGATCACGAACCGTGATTAGGAGTTCGATCACGAATTTTGGCCAGAATTACGGCAAATAAATGATAGTCCCAGTGAAAATTAATTAAGGAATCACATCTCGAAAAAATTCTGTCTATATAATACTTAATGAAATGAAAAAAACAGAGGTGTGACATGAGTAACAAATATTTTGGTGGGCCCAGCTTTAGCTATTTCCAAAAAAAAATAGAAAGGCTTAATATAATTTGAATCAATGAATCAAAATAAAAGAAAAATTTATTAAATATATTTAGAATTATATAGTGATATAAAAATTTTATCTCTGTAAAATATCTAAAGCTAAAAGAGATCAAAAAGTCAAAATATTAAACAAGCCAACCATTTATATCCTACTTTATAGTAACAATCAATAAAGTACTAACCAAACTTCAAATCTTTTATTAAAAAGCAGTATTTTATATTATTAGTTAATATGAAGATCAATCTTCTTTTCAGAAAAAATAATTGCTATATCTATTGTATCTTTAATAATTATATTTATAAATATTAATAATACTAACAATGTTTCAGAAAATATAATTAATTAAAATAAAAACTCATAAGCTTTTGATTATATTTTATATAATTTTATCTTTAATGATTATCTAGATAAAATGATATAGTATAAAAATCAATAATATAATTGATTTATTTTTAACTATAATGGCTTTTTTATTTCTCAAACAAAATATTTAAAGGATTAATTAAAATGCTAATTCAAGATATCATTTATTTTTAAGATAAAAAGATCAACTTTATACTATCTAATTATCTAATCTAAAAAATTATACTTAAAATTTAAATTAAAATTTTTATATATTTTTAAAAAGTTAATTAAAATTATGTCAAAAAATTAATTTTTTATTTTTAAAAAATAGTTCTTTTGACTATAAAAATAAGAACTTATAATAATAAGTTATCATCCAAATATTTTACAAAATTAACTAATTTTATAAGAAATATTATAAAATAATATTTGATTAATATTAATATGTAAAACTTAAATTATCAAAATTTATAATATGTATTTTTTTATTCTAAATCTATAAATGATTAAAAAGTTGAAGTTTTTAATAATAATATTACTTTTAATAAAAATATATTAATATAATTAACATATAAAACAGATATTAATAATATAATTTTTTTAATGTAAAAAAAGTGTTATATGATTAATCAGATTTATATTACAAGTGGTATTCTAGGACATTTTAATATATTAATATATTAAAATGTCCTAGAATACCACTTGTCCAAGATTAATATGTCCTAGGATATTATAATCTAATGATTAATATGTCATAAGACGTTATAATCTAATGATTAATATGTCATAAGACGTTATAATCTAATAATTAATATGTCAT